TGGCAGGGTGGCAGTGCTGCAGCCGTGTGATGATCAGGGCTGTCACTCCATAGTTGCAAAGTGCTTTTTCACCGTGTCGAGCTGTAGGGGCCCATTGAGTCACTGCAGGGTGGTGTGAACAGAGTCACACTGGGGATCTGGAGAGCAGAAATGGGGGCAGTGAGGCTCCATTGAAAATGGAGCACAAGCCATTGAAGCGCTGGGTTGCACTTCTGCAGCTCGGAGCAGGATTGCTCTGACTCTGCTTGTAGGCACTGAGGAGTATTTTTGGGCAGTTGCTGATATCTTGCATCACAGGAATTAAATCATTAAACATTTGAGAGGGGACAGGTTTTGGTTGAGCTGTAATTCTCTCTAGTCCCTCCGAGCCCTCAGTCCGGGGAGGTGTGGGGGGAGCAGGGCTTGCTCCTCCGCCCCCCAACTCCGAGCCCGGGGTTAGCAGAAAGGCTTTCTGCTGCTGTCTGGCTGAAAAAGCCAACGCTATTTCATTCTCACTCCTCTTCAAAGCGATGTCAGTGCTGTAAACGCTGCAAGAGTGCAAGCCCAGCTCCTTTACTGCCGTCCCTAAGCCCAGAGCTCAGACCCTGCTCAGGACCCGTGGCGGCAGCTGCCCTCCGGCTCCCTAAGAGGCATGAATAACTTGCCTGGCCTCGCAGTGCAGGGAGCTGCAGGCAGGGCGCAGCCAGGCAAGCCCTTTATTTATGAACGTGTGCAAGAGCACATTGCAATTGAAACTCGTGCTTATCTTGCTACAGCATTTTTTGGTTGCTGCTTAATACCAATTCAGTGGCTATTTCTGTTTCTGAAATGGGCATCGGCTTTTGTGCTGAGCCACCAAGTGAAGGTCTCTGCATTTTTTGATGCTCCATCACTGGCTCCAGGTGCCATGATGTGTGTGCTGTGGGGTGGGATGGGAGGTTTGGGTGCCCTGACTGCATTGCGCCCACGTCGTGTTCACGCACACAGCAGGAAGAAGGATTTCCAGCAGCATTTAGCATTTGGGGATGTTGTGTGCTTCTTTTCTGTAAAAGAAAATCCAAATTGTTTGTGGGGTGAGGAATAGGAAGGCAGAAGGATTTTGCTTGTGGAATAGAGGAGTTGGGTGATTTTGGGGGTTCCTCTGGATAAGCTGGAGCGGTTC